TGTGAAGTCATCTGTGAAGCCCACCACGGCCCCCGCTGCTAATACTAGCAATTCCACGTTGACTTGTCATCTCTAGCAGAGAATGATAAATGGGTCCTCATGCATTCTCACCCTTAGAGAAGCCGCGAAACATGAACTGTGGCCTGACTTAACTGTCCTCTTTCTTTCCAGAGAACAGTCAGTGCCCTTGCTGAGATGCATGGTAACTAACCTGCCTGTGTGAGTCAGACGGGGTGTGTGTGCGTGTCAGTGTTTTCACGTGCGGGGTGCCACCGTCAGGAAGTAGCCACTTAGGGAGGAGTCACGGCTGATGCACAGGGTCCTCACCGTGGGCCCAGCTCTTGATGCCTGGGCGTGTCCTTTTTCCCTTCCCATCCACAGCAGTGGTCTCAGGAACAGGAGCCGAAGGAATCAAGCCCTGAAATTACTTTTACAGATAAGGATTACTCTTGGAGACATGTTCACCCACTAATTAGTACATCACTTAAAAAACAAATCATTGTGGTAACCCACAGCAGAAAAGGAAACACATGAAACAAGCCAAGTCTTTCCTTAAAGCCTCCTGATTACTAGTATGAAAGCAATTATGTAACAGTTTCTTACACTGAAATTGACATACAATATTCTAGTCCTCAGAACATCATCTCCTTTTACAGAGGAGGAAATAAGCTCAATACCTTGCCCAGGTAAATAGATATAGATTTGTCCCTGCTAACTTGGATTGTGTCCCCAGGCCTATGATGCCTCCCAGTTAGGAGAGCATTTTCCAGCTATAAGATCTCCCAAATTGCTGGAAAGTCACTTAGGAATGTGGTGAGACAGGGTAGATATCCTCTTGCCCAATAGTTGCTCCAAAAAAGTGTTGTAGATTGTCCCAAAAAAGTAACTAAGTACTGATACATGCTACAACATGGATGAGCCTTGAAAACATGCTAAGTGAAAGTTCTATTTATCCAAATGTCCAGAATAGGCAAATCTATATAGATAGGAAGTAGGTTAGTAGTTACCTAGACCAGTGTGTGTGTTGATACTGGGCATGGAAATAGGCAGGAGGTTAAAGCTAAGTGGTATTGGGCTTTTGGGGGCAATGAGAACATTCTAAAGTGATTGTTGCTAGGGTTGCATGAATGTCACATTTTAAGTGAGTGAATTGTATGTTATATGGATTATTTCATTAAACTTGTCTTTAATTTAATTTATTATTATTTTTGTACTGGGGGATTGAACCCAGGGCCTCATGCATGCCAGGCAAGTGCTCTATCACTGAGCTACATCTGCAGGCTAAACTTGTCTTTATAAAGGGAGATGATAAGAGAGACAGCATCATTATGGGTTAACAATTCACAGGAGCTGGGCTTTCTGACTTGAAGCCACAGTTTTATATATTTGTGGACCCCTGTTCCATCCTTGTGTTGTACTGAGGGCAGAAGATGAGTATATGAACACAATTTGCAGCACTGGTTGTAAAATCACTGGTTGAAAAACAGAAATTTGGGGCCTGAAACCCTGGGTTTGATCACCAGTGCTGCACGTGTGCTCGTGTGCACACATACACACACACACACACACACAAATTGGACTTAGATTCTATTCTGACATATGTTTATATTTAGCTCTAAAATAATTTGCTGTATTTTAAGCAATGACAACTTTTTAATCTCAGATCAAATTTACAGTTCTGGGGCTGGGGATATAGCTCAGTCGAGAGAGTTGCTTGCCTTGCATGCATAAGGCCTTGGGTTCAATCCCCAGCAACTAAAAAAAAAAAAAATCACAGTTCTGGCTTTCATTGACAGTTTGAACCTCTAACATGGGTGTGTAAATGCACTGCTATTGATAGAAAAGCTGTTTCTGCCAATTGTGTGAGGTCCTAGTTGCTTTTTTTGGTTTGCTGTGCACTGATGGACCTGCACTCACTCTGGAATATTCATTGTAATAACTTGATTTACCTACCTTCCTTCCTTCTTTCCTTCCTTCCTCCCTTCCTTCTTTCTTCAGTGCTGGGGATGGAATCTAGGGCCTTGAGCATGCTGGACAAGAGCTCCACCCTGAACTATATGCCCAGCGTTCATCAAGTTTTCTTGAAACATTTTCATTCTGGTGCAAGATGGCTGCCATAAAAGTTGCCCTTTTGATTTTTAAAATTTTAGATACTTCCTTCAACCTAGTTGGGAATAACTTACCCATTCTAATATCTTCTAAGAGATACTGTCAGCCCTCTGTATCTGGGAGGATTCCACATCTGTGATGCAACCAATGCAGATCAAAAATATTTGGGAAATAATTGTACCTGTACTGATTACGTAGAGACTTTTTCTGTTATTACTCCCTTAACAACACTGTACAACAATTATTTACATTGTATGAGGTATAATAAGTTCTAGAGATGATTTAAAGTGTACAAGAGGATCTGCATAAGTTATATGCAAATTCTACATCATTTTATATAAGGGACTTGAACATCCACGGATTTTGATATCTGAGGTAACCAAGAAATAATCCCCTGAGGATACTGAGGGACAAATATAATAATATGAATTGAAACTAGGATTTTTATACAAGTTGGTTTAAATTTATCAGCCTAAAAGTGTACTTGTTACCTAATTGGCATCTTGCAGAGGAATTTTCTTGCAGAAAAATCTTGTGTGCAACTAATTTGCCATCTACACTGTGAAAGGCTTACCTGATTCTTAACTATAACATGGTCACCTTATGTGGTCCAGTTTCTCTTTGCACAACTGCATTGAAAGAAATCCTGTAACCAAAAATAATGGGAAGTGCATTTCAAGTCTGTCTTAAAGAATGCAAAAGGATCCAATTCACAATTGCAGAGCAAATATTTTTAAAACCTTCTTTTCCATCCTTCTATCAGGACCTGGCAGCATTCAGCCATGTAAACTTTCTCTGCTAACTTCTCTCCCGTCCTCACAGTTCTGCCCCAAGTCTGTTGGAACACCTGTCTTTCTTTTTGCTGTGAACTGTACCTCTTCAACTTTACAGTGCTTTCTACCCATCAAGTGAACCAGTTTAACTTCAGGTTCAAGCTTAGAGATGCTTCCTGCACGCCCTCTAAGGAAGGGAAGGCAGCATTATCCTTCTGAGTTAATTGCTTTTTCCTCTAATACTCAGAGAGCATGGGTGTTTCATGCAGGGGAAGTTTGGGAATTCTTTTTGTTTTCAGGTATTCACCTTATTTTATTTTGGTGGTGCTGGGGATTGAATTCAGGGCCTTGTGCATGTGAGGCAGGCACTCCACCAACTGAGCTATATATCCCCAGCCCCTTTCTTTCTTCTTCTTCTTTTTTTAAAAATATTTTTAAAGGACACAATACCTTTATTTTATTTATTTATTTTTTAATATGGTGCTGAGAAATGAACCCAGTGCCTCACCCATGCTAGGCAAGTGCTCTATCACTGAGCCACAACTCCAGCCCCCCTCACCTTATTCTTAAAGGAACATTCAGGGATAAGGTGAACACTGAATTTCAGAAGCAGCAGGTAGCGTCTCAGTCAGGCCCGGGTAGATCCTAGTTTCAGCATTTGTGAGCATCTACCAAGCAGTGCTGGTCTAGAGGCTTGGGTCTATGTTTTTGGCCAGGGATGAGCCAGAGAAGGGCCCTTTCTTTAATACTCTGCTGTTATTCTAAAAACCTAATCCCATTTGAACAAGGAACCCCTCATTTTCATCTGGAATCCTGCTACTGAGGCAAGGTTTCCAAACATCCTTTGACTCCCAGTGGGGCTTCCTCTCCTTGTTCCCATGAGGAGGAAGAGTTTCAGTTGTTAGCAAACCTTCAACTGTTGTCAGGGAACTTGTCTCTGCCAACCATCTCTCAGGGTAGCAGACAACCTGGAAAATTGGGAGGAGAAGGTGAAGTATGTATCCAACTCTGACTCCACGTAGAAGGGGTTCTCCTTCTGCATTACAACTGTGGCCCATTAGATAGGCTTCTCCCACCACAAGCTTGGCTCAGACTTCTGTCTTGAGGTCCCCAGTCTTCCTGGGCTCACTGTCTGCAGTTTCTGTCTTTTCCCTCTTCTTGCTCACCACACTTCACCACATTGTGGTTCCTACTTTTTTCTGAGCTCCGTGGTATATGAGGGCTGCTCACCAAGCTAAGAGGAAGTGGGACCCTACTGTTTGGATAGAGCTCAAAGTGATTTCCAAGCTCGAGGCTCCACACAAGATAGTCTTGGTTGAGTGGTGCTAATGTGTGTTTGGTTGAGTGGGAAGGAGAGGTCCTCTGGATTCAGACCCACCTGTCTTCTCAAGTCTGCCTCTTATCTGCCAAGTTGTGCCCTGCAGAACTCTGTCTGCCCATTGTATGCTAAAGGTGCCAGCCTGTACAGCCCCATAGGCAGCCTCAGGTGGCAGCTGCTGGGGCTGTAAGATCTTTAGCAGGTTGGTGAACTTCTCTGATACTTACGTTTTCATACAAAATAACATAGGAGGCATTAATAAACACCTTCAGGTAGTTTAAGAGAGATGGAATGAAATAACATCTGCTGACTAACCAAGTACTTAATGTCTATTTCTATCAAGGAATGCACACTGGCTCAAAAATGCAAGCCCAGTACCTGTCCTCCCCTGGGGAATCGGTCTTGTGCTCAGAAGGAGGAGTAGCTTCCCAATTTCAAAATATCTCTCATCTGGAGATTTGTCTGAATATATTCCACTCTTCTTTTGGGAGACAAATATGCATATACACTTTTTTGAATCCAATAGAAAAAGAGAGGCCGCTCTGGCAGTCCTGGGATTGGCCTAGGACTCTAGGGCCAGTGGCTCTCAACCAGGGTTGCCCCTGCTCCACCCCAGTCTCATACACGGAGAGCTGGGGAGTGCTGCGGGTGTCTAGTGGCGAGAGGCCGGGGATGCTGTCCACGATGGCCTGCAGCGCAGTGTGCAGGTGGCACCCAGGCTGCCCGAGGACTTTCTGGATGCTCGGGGAAGCTGCAGGAATCCCAGAAATAGAGTGATGTTGGGCATGTCTGTTTTTCAGATTCCCGTGGCATGAAAGGATGACAGACGCAGGAGGGCCCCAGAGGCACGCACTCTGTTTTTTGTCTACACTCCTATCCCAGAAGGTTCCTGAGAAGACAGACCTTGTGCTCCGCTGCATGATATCCGGTAATCATCCCTAGACTATTCACTCACCCTCTAACTTCTTCCTGCAGACCAGGGGTTTAGGCTCACAATGGCATTATGAAAACATCCGTTGGGAAAATTGATGGGAAGTTTATCCTGAGGAATTAATTAAGCAACTAAATCTTCATGAAGTTTTTCAAGTGACTTCCTGGATGTTGGTTAGTGGTCTTCTGACTTCATATCGTGGTTCTCAGTTAAGCAGCTCTCACGCTGGATAGTTTTTCAGATAATCCACTCTTTACTTCCTGTGGTACACAGGAATGGCATGAATAATCTCACTCCAACTCTCCAGTAACTCTTTAACTGATCTCCCCAAATTGGTTAAATTTGCTCCCCACTGCTCGCTTTCCTCAGGCATGCTAGTAAAGAGAGGAAAAGCCAAGGAAGGAATTGCCCTTAGACTGGAGAATAAGTCACTCAGAGTTGATCAGGTATTTGTACCTTCAGTGGCAAAAGGACCAATCCTTAGTACTAGGTCTCTACACTTGAAAACATGAAGGCACCAGCAGTGTTTCCTGGGGGTAGACAGAAAACTCTTGTCCCCTTGATCCTTTTTCCTAAATCCATAGAGGAGAAGAGCCAGACCTGGAGATGGCTGCGTGGTCTGGAAGCTGGAGGGCCAGACTGCGCACTTCATCTCAGCAAGCCCAGCGCTTGCTTTCTCCACACTTACCAGTTATCATTGAGACAAACAGAGAGACACAAGTTGACCTTGAGTCTCTAGGGAGAGCCCCATGTGTTAGACCCTAAACTTGGCTGCCAGTCCCTGCACACCTTAGCCAAATAATTCTGAAACATTCAGGAGGTGGCTCTCAATATGTGACTTAACAGCGAGTTTCAAAAAACAAGGGGAGGAAGAGCTGGGGGTGTAGCTCAATGATAGAGCCCTTGCCCAGCATGCACAAGACTTGGTCCCATCCCCAGTATCTTGAAAGGAAAAAAAATCAAACAAGGGGAGGATTTTCATGTGAGATTTCCAGCAAGTGGAGGGAGAGAAAAGAGAACCACCCACAAGGTACGAGATACCACTTCCCTAGGCAAGTCTCATTTCTGGCTTATGGTTCAGATCTATACTGCACGAAGGGAAAGAAACAGTCAGCCATGAAGAGACTGGGGGAAACCAACCAGCCCTGATCAATCTGAATGAGCAACTGGAGTCCGGGAGGTCGGAATGCCATTATTCTGGCCCACCTCATGCTTCTTTTATGTACTTCCTTCAAAAAAGTCATGCACACACAAAAAAAGAGCCATGAAACGCTTCCTAAAAAGGAACCTAAATAAAACTGGGAGACACAGGTTGATAAGAACAGGCAGAAACAAGTGATGATCTGTACCTACTGATGGGTTTTCAGGGAAGCTCATTTTGAGTGGTTGAGTCATCTGACTGTAAGAGGCTCAGGCAAACAGTGGCTGGAGAAGGATATGTCCTTGCATGTGGCTCTCCATGTTCCTAGCCCCAGGACAACTACTCAGGCACTGACTTGAAGGAACAGATAAGGAAGAAAAATTCACGGTTGCTAAAAAGTATATTCATGGCATCAGAACCGAGAGAAGGAGGGAGAGGGACTCAGAGCATTCTAGAGGTTTCAATGTTACCTTCCCCACCTCTTTTAGCTCTCCCCTTTTTATGAACTTAGAAGAACAGAGAGATCTTAGTGATCTCTGGGGTTGCTTGCCATACCATAAATAAGACAAAACACAAGAACATTCCCAGGATGGGTTCAGAACAGTGCATTATTTCCGAATGTTGGACTTTTCTTCCTGTATATATGGTACATTTTGATAATTTTTCAGGGACATGGAGGCTAGTGAGAAAGCTCTTTTGGACACATTAGAAACTCTCCTGCCCTATAACAGGAGGGGAAAAAATCCCAAGGGCTGGGTGAAATTCTTGGGGGTTTTACCAGCTTAGCCCACTAGCATCATATCTGGTTAATGATCACAGAGAAGGCTGAACTCCTTCTGAGGGAGACAGCATGGGTCCATTCCTGTGATGATATCAGTCACAGATGCTCAGTGCCAGCCTGGGAAATCTGAACTCCTCCTCATGAAGAAAATGACTCTTGTGTTCTAATCTGCTGTGTTTTCCTTTTTGTATCATAACACATACACTCGACTTTGAGCACTGTTGAAGTATCATTTTCAAAAAGGTAAAGGGATTTCCATGAAATGAACATCTCAGAGGTTTTATTCAACTCATTAATTAACGAGGGAACCAAAAAATATTAAGGTCTGAGAAGCTAGGTATTTATAGGCAATTTAATAATGTTTGGATAAAGTTACTGGGTTAGGTATGACACTGTTAATGTCCTCTAGGGCAGGAAACAATTTATGGGCTTAATCTTTTCTGTTAGAGATTATTTGCATATTATTGGATAAAAACCTATAAATTAACATATAATTTCACCAAATCTGGGAGTTTTAGTCAGTAGTAACCATGGAGTAAAACAAAGTACATTTCCCAAAATCATTTCTGGATGAGCCTCTGTCACCCATATAACTTAAAAAAAAATACCATCTACATATTTGGCTATTGGATAATTTTTCTCAACAGATCCTTGATATTAGAGTTGGCATTTTTATTTTGTTTCCCTGTCCCCCAGCCCAGCACCATCTTAGGCATATAACATGCCCAATAGTGTTTACTGAGTCACACGTTTATGTCAGCGGGAGAAAGCTTTTCAGTTCCCCTCTGAAATAATCCATCATACGCATTGTTGCTCATTCTTGTTCATAACTTTATGATTTTTTTTCAAAACATACTTAAAATTATAATAATATTCTTAATTTTGTCATCAGGTGAGCCCAAACCAGAAGTAACGTGGTATAAGAATGGCCAAGCCATAGATGAGTGTGACATTATTTCCAGTTATGAGTTCTTCAAGCATCAGTATATCCATGTGCTACATCTCTCTTGGTAAGTGACTTTGGCCCTTTGGACTATTTATTAACATTCTCTATTCTGGTGTGTGCTGGGGACTATGAGGTAAGATCAAAAGATTGGCTCATGTTTGCCTCTGATGTCCTGACTTTGGATGCTACTGACAGACATCAGCCAAGGCATCTGGTGGTGACTACAGTCATCCTTCCATATCTGCAGGTTCCACATCTGCAGATCAACCAATCTTGTCTTTGCTGAGTGTGGTCACCAACTACACTTCTCTAGTTTACTGCCTTTGATAGAGTTAAGCTTAATCTAGAATTTTATTTAATGTCCTAGCCATTTTTATTCACAAGATGAGATTTTCACTTAATTTTCTCTTTGGGAAAAGTTAAGAAAGTGAGCTAGGATCTCAGCACTGTCATCTAACCTACCATGTTTAAGAAGAAAGGAGAAGGGACTGACCTATTCCCCAGCAAACTGATGATGAAATTAAGACTAGAAAACATGTTTTCTGACTTTATTTTAGGAACTAATGGTGATCCAGCACACTGGTTCCTAAGTGTTTTTTGTTCTCCCAGGAGCTATTTATTTGGATGAAATGAGGAAGGTCAATATATAGAGAAAATGAGAATCACTCACTGAACTGATTACAGTGCCCTTATGGGGATCCAAGGAGCATGGGATGAAAATGTCAGGCAGGATAAGGACGTGCCAATGGTCTGAGGATAAGAAAATAAGACAGATTTGAATTCTTGCTCTGCCATATTCTTGCAGCATGATCTTAGCCTATATTTAACCTTTGGATTTCTTCATATACAGATGAAGAACAAAAGGGTGACAGAGAGAATTAAATGACTTTATGCTTATAACAGTATTTTTAAATGAACAGTTGTTCAATAAACACCAGCTTTATTACCCTTCATGCATCTTTTTTGTTTAAAGTAAGGTCAGAGATCATCTTTCCATGTTTGATTTCTGTGATTTGCAACAGAACTACCCCGACACTCAAGGCTCCATTTTTCTATTCTATAACTCTTTAGATAATATTTCATCAAGCACCATATGCCAAGCATTTTGTTAATGCTGGAGATGGAGTAACACAAACACTGTCCACACCCTCACAGAACTTCCACTTGAGATGGAAGACAGGTGGTGGACACACTAAGCCATTCTTTCCCTCTGCAGGCCAACACACCAAATTGGCACTTGAACATTTAGAGGCTTGAACCCTTCTGCCTCTTCATTCCAATCTTGCCAACACCTCCAGCTCCTCGTCTTCACCTCATTCAGGTTAGAATCCACCTCTTGAGGTTCACAGGAAGCTCCGATTAGTAATGAACCTTCCCAGTCTCATTCTCTTCTCCTTCTATTTTATTGCGCAGGCTTCCCCTTGGGTGTTCTCTATTGCATACATCAGGATAGGTGGATAGGTTAGTAGCCTGTGGGCCTCAGAGGAGTCAAGGAGCCTTTCCCACTTCACAGAGATGGATCCCCTAGAGCCTGATACAATGCCTTACACATAAACATTTGTTGAAAGAATTGATGAGGATATGTATGAATATATGTGTGCATTTGGTGTTGCTGTTAGTTATTTTATATGGATCAGTGTTGGCAAACTGTTTTCATAAAAGGCCAGACAGTAAATATGTTAGGCTTTGCCTGCCAGATGGAAAAATAGGGCACAGTTATTCAACGCTACCACTTGGTGCAAGAGCAGCCATAGGTAATATGTGCTTAAAAAATAGCACAGCCATTCAAATCAAACTTTTTAAAAAAAAATCAGTAGGGAGTCACATTTGAGAATATACATATTAAACTTCTGTGTCTGTTTCCTGTTCTTCTTTTTCTCCACTCTAAGTACTCGCTATATGTTTCTTGGTTGATTAATTTTATTCTCACACTAAAGCAAAATACAGTACTCACATTTTGTCTAGGAGAGAAGTTTGATGTGTGTTCTTTTAAGAATTGAGACTTGGTATTAATGTTTTTGCTGTTTATACAGGTTTAGGTGTTAAGGGATGGAGAGGCCATGATGAGGTCCAAACACAAGTGACCAGGCTAGAGTGAGAAAAACATGGAGGAGCAACTGAGGAAGGGAGCCTCACTGTGGAAGGGGAAAGGAGTCACCATTCTTTGCTTTCAGGTCCATCAGGGCAGCAGATTTTGAAACAAATCAAAGATTTAATGCAACAGAATCACTTTTTCAAGTCCTAGGCCTGCCTTTTTGAAAACTAGCCAAACTACTGGGAGAAGTATTTGGCTCTAATGCAAGAAATGATAATAGAGTGATATGATACCAGATATGGTCACATTTTACTGCTTAGTAGTAAATTTTCTAGGTACTCATGACCTTTAAAAGTTCTGACTTTTGCACCAGTAGTTCTGAATTAGAGTTGCCCATTGATGTTCTGGGGACCTTTGAATTTCCTTAATGTTTGGGCTTCACCAAACATCACTGAACATCATCTGATTAAATCTGAACCCCAAGTGATTCCAGTGTATTGCCCAAGATGAAAATTGTTTTGCATCCTTAATATTCATCTGAAAAGTCAATTTATTTATACCAGTATATTAAAGGCTAGTTAGGACAATCAACAGGGTTTTGTGCAAATGCTTTTTAAAGATTAGAAATTAGTTGTTAGTTGTAATATTAATCTCAAAATTTCCTGCCAATATCAATATACCATAAATCACTAGATAAGCTCATAATCCAAAGAAAAGCACATTTAAAAAAAAATCTACTTGTGCTTAGACTTTGGGTCTTTAAATCTGAGCTCTTAGATATTTGAAAGCTCCTGTGTGTTTGTTTCTCAAGAACTTTTTGGGGTTCAACAAATCTAATCTACAGTTCTACTTTGAGGCTCTGTGGCTATATTTATCCACCTTTGGCACTTACATTTGACCTGGTGGGGTCCCTTACCCCTCATCCCTTCATTGTCCTCTCACCACTGTGGAAAAGAGGCTTCAGTGCAGCTGTTGTAACCTTTATGTGGCCACAGGTGCTTGGCAGGAAGGAGAAATGGATAGCCAAGACTATACTCAAAGGGAGAGAAACTTCAATCATAATATTAGGGTATGTACTATAGCTTGAAAAGGAGCTTTGTTTTTTTATTGAAAAGATGTGGGATTTGAGAGGAAAATGCAAATAGAGGTTTTCAACCCCATACTGAAAGCAGGTGGCACCGCTGTGTGTATAAATGGGGAATTGTGGTCTCTTATGAATACAAATTAAAGAAAGGTAGCAAAACAACAGATAAAAATCTGTCCAGGAACCCACACCTAGAAAGAGAGGCTCCTTTTCGCAGCAAGGAGGCCCCTTTTGAAGGTCACAGTCATGTTCCGTTGTGCTGAAAGAGCACAGATTACAAGTGAGGTGAGAGTGGCAGAGCTCAGCCACTGCCTCGGCCAGTGGGGCAAAGCAGCCCCCATGGTGTGCTGGCAACTCAGCCTGGCATTGGCTGGGCTGGTGCAGGCCCTGCTGAGTATTGACTGGTTGGGGACAATGACCAGATAATGGCAGCCCCTTCAAGCCAATCTGCTTGTGGAGTGTATGGGGCTGGAGAGTATCCCCACCAAGTCCAAATCCACCTGGAACCTCAGAATGTGACTTATTTGGAAGAAGGATCTTTGCAGGTGTAATTAGTTAAATTGAATTCATACTGGAGCAGAGTAACCTCTAATCCAGTGAGTTATGTCCTTAGACAAAGAGAAAACAGAGACATAGAGATAGACACAAAGGGAAAGTGAGGGCAGACAGGCAGAGATTGGGGTGATGGAGCTCTCAGCCAAGAAATGCCAAAGATTTCAAGCAACGACCAGGAGCTAAGCAAGGAAAGATTCTCCTTTAGAACTTTGATGACACCTTGACTTTGCACTTCTAGTCTCCAGATCCATGAAAAAATAAAGCTCTATTGCTACAGACCACCCAATTTGTGGTAGTTTGTTACAACGGCTCTGGGAAATGAACATGTGTATCTGAACAGTTGAATAAGAAAAAGTGCTGCCCTTTGCCTACCTTGACATAAAGGTTGGTGGTGTCATCTGGCAGTGTAGAGTGTCTTCAAATACTCCAGCTGAGCTCATCCAGGCCATCTGGAGGTCTATAGGTCAAAGGGAAAACATTTTCCAATTCTATCCCAAGTTGGGTATTGTGTTAGTCAGCTTTATATCATTATCTGAGATAATGAACTTATAGAGAGAATGTTATTTTGGCTCACAGTTTTGGAGGTTGTAGTCCATGATTGGTTGGCCCCTTTGCTTCTGGGCCATCATGGTGGGAGTACATGGTGGACCAATTTACTCATACTATGGCCAGAAAGTAAGAGGGACTGAGAAAGGGGCTGGCCTCCCACAATTCCCTTCAAGGGAATACCTTCAAAAGACAAAGACCTCCATACAGCTCCACTTCTTAAAGGCTCTATCATGTCCCAGTGGTGGCCATGGGCTGGGAACCAAACCTTTTTCACATGGACCTTTGGGGACCCTATCCAAACCACAGCAGGCATTGGTTATTAAAGATTTCAAAGGAGAAATCAAAAAGATTTCCTGGGTCGCTTATGTTTTTGGCCTCAGGTAACACTTGGAGATATCTGGAAACATTTTTGATAGTCACAACTGGAGAGGGTAGGGGCGCTACTGGTATCAAGTGGGTAGAGGGCAAGGATGCTGCTAAACCTTGCACAATGCACAGAGCAGCCCCCAACGATAAAGAATTATCCAATCTAAAAGGTTAAAAGTTGAAGAACTAACAAAGAACCACGAAACTGAGGGCCTTAAATGACCAGTGGGTTATTTTTCCTGACTCTGTGGGATGGCTTGGTTGGACTTGAAGGTCCAAAATGGCTTGAATGCCATGTCTGGCAGTCGATGCTGCTGTTGGCTAGGTCCTCCCAGTTCTCCCTGTGGGCTCTCCTCCTATAGGAGCAGGGAGCTGGCTTCCATACATGGCAGTCTTGGGCAGTGTTCCAATATAATGGAGCCCACCCCAACAACAATCCCCACAACAGTCTCTTGGCCAAAGTAAGCCACTGGGC